TTACCTTCCTGGCTTCTGGATCCTTCATGACCCAAAGGACAGAGAGTGGATACGTGTAGATTATGTGGATTTCACTGATGTATCTAATCTTAATATGAATATGCACACTGTTCACAGGGTGAGATTTGATGACGTTACAATTAATTTAAGCTTCTATGAGAAATCGATTCTTAATTTGGACAGACATTTTAAATTCGAAAAGAAGACGGGGAAACAATAGATGTATTGTTATTGAAAGCTCTTGGGTCGAGATGTCAAACTTGCAAAACTGTAATACATCTAACACAGCGGAGATCACCAGTAGGACAGACCGTGTGATGGTTGGATGACTTGACCGTATTCATAAATGTGAGGAAGACAGGCCTGTCAAACACCACACGTTTGAACAAATACCTCAGCCAGGATAATGGTGTCGTCTTGTAGTGCACATACAGGTTCACTGTTGAAATGGGCTGAATATTATGTAAAGGAGAAATAGGTACATAATTATGTGTTGTGTAACTGTGAGGGGCCCAACAGTCTTTCGGGACATTCAGCATTCCAGTGAACAATTCAAACGTTTTGGTAAAACCAAAGCATTGTTTGGAACAATCTATTATTGTCCCAAAAATCCCAGGGTTTAACTGAAAACCATATGCAACTTCGCATCGAGGCCATAGCAAACGTCCGTGATTATCACCAGTAATTAAGCATGCTGATCGTGGTGTTAGCAGCAACGGTTGCATGGCTAATGCTCTGGTTGTGGGTAATTCCCTCATCTGGTTGTCTAACACAGAGTTCCAAACGCTCTGTCCCTTGCAGGCAATAAAATTCTCATTTCATGGAAACGACTGTGGGCAAAGAAATAAAAATCCAATGCTCAACTGTCCTGCGGTTGCTCTTAGCTTAATTCCAACTTTTGGAAACAACCTTAAATTTTGATCACTTTAAACATTACATCCACAAAAGGCACATCATTGAAAGAAATATTGGTTATAGTAAAAGGCAACAAGCTATTTATAAGTGAATGTTGTACCACGAACTAGCTAATGCACATATATCGATTTCTGAAGCTCGGTGATCTTAAGTACAATTCTTGATTATGATTTTGAAATCTCTTTATTAATTTTTTTCAAGGTTAAGTGCAAAATGTGAGTGATTCTGAATGTACATGAGTGTCTGGATCACAGTTAAATTCTTAAAATATCTGAGCCCATGATATACATCTAACATGAACCTCACTATCAGATTTAATAAACATAACATTGGCTTTTTGAACTCAGGTTTAATCTTGCTTGTGCCTTCTAAAATTGTCTTCAAAGTGTCGCCGTGACCTTGAAAATTACGTGAAGGTCACCAACATCGACTGGGCTCTGCGCCTTCCTTGTATGAAGCTTGGTATCAAATATGATGAAAATCCAGTTAACGGTTCTTGAGATATCTCGCTGACAAGCTTAACATGCAGGCTAACATGCTGAAATCTTCAAAGTGTCGTTGTGACCTTGAAAATCCAGTGAGCGGTTCTTGAGATATCTTGCTGACAAGGGTAAAAGGTTAAAGTTCCCTTATGACCTTGAAATAAATGTCAAGGTCACCAAACCTGACTGGGACCTTTCTTATACTGTGATGAACCTAGGTACCAAGTATGAAAAGAATCTAGTCAATGGTTCTTAAGATATTCCAATTCGTACGTACGGACGGACAGAGCCTTATATTATTTACCCCGCTTCGCGCTAAACGCGCGGAAGGTGATAAAAATAGCTTTCAGCAATATTCCAGCAATATCACGGTGGGGATGGGGATGGGACACCAGAAATGGGCTTCACAAATTGTACCCGTGTGTGGAATCGAACCCGGGTCTTCGGCGTGACGAGCGAACGCTTTAACCATTTGGCTAAGCCACCGCCCAAAATGCCCAATCGAACCACACGTCATACAGCTAAGTGTAACATGGTGGCCTCTGTTTTCTCCGGTTCCAGAATAAGCCTACTTCTGTACTACCTTGTTCGGACCATTGATGGCTGTGACTATCCTAATTTGCTTTTGCAACTGCTGAGAATATCAAGGCCTTAAGTCCTGGAAAAGTCACCAAAGGTTTCGCCTGGCCAATGAACCTGTCCCCACACTGCTTCAAACATCATCCATATTTACCAGATCTGCCTCGTCAGATTCCACTACTTCCCAAATTTGAAGAAACAACCGTTCGCTAAGCATCCTGCATATGATGTTATCTCTCCTGAGGAAGGCTTCAACGTCAATGGGATCCGTACACTCCAGTATCTTTGACACATTTCTAGACCTCCCCAACGATAATGTGGAAATATGATCAGCAAATACACACACATTGAAGCAGTCCATAACCGTAAGGCTCAGACCATTGACCACCTGTCGTAGCATAGTATAAGTCAGTCGGGAAATAAATAACAACAACAGCCCTAAACATTCCAACACAGGCGATTATTTCATCACAAGGGATACATAGGATCCTCGCCTTTCAACAGGTACTAATGAGTATATCTAGAATGACCAATACATCGTCGTATAAAAACTTCTTCAAATCTGGACTGACAAGCCAAGTAGGTATGACCAATAGTTGGTTCAATTTCATGTAATTTATTGATACCTACTTCAGTGTCGCACTTCTTTTGCATTAGATCACAGATGTAGTTCTAATGATAGGTTTGTAATCAGTATAGAAAGTAAGTGGTGTCACAGATTTGTTGAGTGCTGCTTTAGCTGCAGCAGCATCAGCCATGGTGTTACCAGCAAGTCCAACATGGCTGGGTAACCAACAAAATACGATGTGGTATTGGCCTGAAGCAAGAACGTGAAATAGTTCAACAATTTCTATTAAAAGTGGATGTTTAGAAGACATGTTTTAATAGCCTGAAGACACAAAAATGAGCCTGAAAATATGACTGTGTATATTTAGACTGGTTATGTATATATTTTAGAGCTGATAATATGGCATTAGCCTCTGCTGTAAAAATGGAGTCATCATCAGGTAATCTTTAAGATAATGTTCTGGACAGGGTGCGATTTAGTTTGCCTTGAAGAGATTGCATCAGGTGACGGATAATTCTGGTTGTAGTTTCAAAATCACCCCCAAAAAGCCTTAGAAAATGGATATCTTACCAAATCTAAAAGAGCAAAAAATGTTAGTAATGCACTGTGCAACAGATTAATTCAATTCCCTTTTTCATAATGAAACTTTCAATGAGGAAAAAAATAATTCAGATTTAAAAAGATTTTATCAAATACAGTAGAATACTTTTATGACAAACACGGATTTAAGTGACGGCTATAGTGACCTGTTTTAAAAGTCCCTAATAAACCTTATATTATCATATAAAAACTGAATAGCGAACTACGGATATAACGAACTAATTTCAGTGGTACCATGGAGTTCGTTACATGTTTTTTACTGTAATGAACATCTTAGTTTCATTATTAACGCAGTTGCAATGATGATTTACTATGTTCTGAAGCTATCAACTTACTTGCACTGGGTGCAACTTGCTGGTAAATGTACTTGCACCAGCTAAAATTAACTTGCAAAGGTGCAACCTGTTAATGGCTAACCCTGCTGGATCCAATGACAGTAGCACTAGCAACACTGACATAGTGCTTGGATCCATCTGTGAAGATAGATTTGAAGGTATCATAAGTGTTTCTTACAATCAACCCAGACTATGGGTACTTCATCACATCATCCTAATATCACCTCATGGGCTTGCGTTGTACACTGGTTGTGTCACCACTTCATCACCTGTTCAATCCTTACCCTGATCTTCACAGGTACATATGATCTAGAAGTATGTCAGTGAGAAGTCAATACCATGACCCCAGATGTCACGACAGGTGACTTTCACCATGAATGCATTCAAACACAAATTCTAAAAGCATGAAAACAATATACTGCCTTCTTTTTATTTTTATTTCATTTCTTTATACTTCCAAATAATTACAATACTAGTTCCATAAAGATACAATGCAATCAACAGCAACTCTTTTCAAATGAAATTTGTCAGTATGATAGCATTTAGGCCTTACACTTGATTTGTAAATCATAAAATCCAATATTCCAAGTGAGTGTGTGTGTAAAACATACACTGGCTAATCTAAGATCTGAACCGTATCATTCATGTAACTTTGGTCACAAAACCAAATGTTTTAACACACACATATCCGAGCACGTGGAATATGAATGAGACAACACTGCCTTCTGTGACAGCATGTATTAGGTACTCAGGATCAATCTCAGCCATTTGTTCTCTTATGTCAGAGGGAAACAAACTCAACGCATGACCACAAAGTCTGTTATCTCACACAGAACAATGACACAATCCAAATACCATTCTAATACTGTCATGAGATTCCAAATTCATCTTTCTTTGTGAAATAGTTGATCATTACCATTTAGTGTTTCACCTTAGTGGAGGCAAGAGAGGTCAAACCTAGCGTCACATGTAAGGGAGTGGATGAAACCATTCCCTGAATGCTCTGTGTAATATTCCAGGCCACAATGCGAGTACAGTGGTGGGAGTAAATGCTAGAATACAAAAGAAGACATATATATTAAGGGTGACTTTGCATGAATATAAACAGCAAAATATTTTCTGCTTGTTGGTATGGAAAGTGTCAAGCCTTCTTAAATTTTCAAACGTAATTCTTCTGTATATTTCAGTTGTGCTGCCTTAATTTAAATGATTGAAGTTTACGTTTCCATAACAACGCAAGAAGTAGCAAGTTTTCATTTATTGTTTCAAGTATCACTTCCAAAACCTACTGTGTTCAAATTAAATTATGGGGTTACATGGGGCTTCTGAGGCTTGCCCCTATAGTCTGATTCTGACACCCCCTAATCTTACTTTTAAGAAAAGCAGCAACCCCTTTACCACTGAGATATGCACTGAAATGCAAAGAATTCTATCATTACAGTCATAATTATAGTTGGCAGAACAAGCCTCACATCCAACATTTAACATAATACTAAATAAGGAAGGAAGAGAAACAAGACATTCTTCTTCACAAGTATATATTATGATACAATGATACAAAGACACAAGGGATTACAAACAGTAACCAATGTCTCATTTCGTGTCGTCTCGCATGACTATGAATCACACACATATCTACAGTTTCCATCCTTCCACTGAATATGATCACACACTCAAATATCACAAACTAAATGCTTTTCTGCCTAGCTAATATATGTACAGATACTGTAACACTTTACTCTGGTGTCTTCCCCTCACCCCCGACTACCATCCCTCCCACATGACACAACTCCATCCAGCACTAACAACATCTGTAACAATCTCAGGATGAGACATGCAGCGTGTGCTGTCGTGCATACATCTTGCTTGGCGATGGAACCATATTTTTATCAAACACTTTGATTTTTATCATGAAGGAATTTTCAATACAGATGATGACTCTGTGCAACTTGATGATGACCTGTACAAGAATGTATGTCTGTATGTACTGGGTGCAATCTGCTAGATGAGCTGACTACTATTCTCAATGAATATCTAACCACACACAATAATGATCACTTCCGTGTATCTCACAAGTGTCTGTGGCGTGTGCTTGAAGACGAAGCCACTGTTCCGTGTATCTCACAACTGGTATCATAACACTTAGTTCTTATCCTTCTTCTCTTCCTTCTCTTCCTTCTCCTCAGATGATGATGATGATGATGATGATGTGGAATCACTGGATTCCTCAGAGGAAGATGAGGAGGAGGAGGATTCCCTCTCTGACGCCATCTACCACGTGAAAAACAAGTGTTAATCCAGTAATATGGACACAATTTGAATACACAAGACATCCCATTACATGTTATAACAGACAATTGTCACAAGGCTCAGAGTTTGTATTCCGCAGAAGCATTGCTGCTGTAGGAGACGAAAAATAAGAACATCATGGCCTTGGAATGTAAATGGAATAGTCCTACAGATGGCAATGTGGAATTTAAAGACAGGTGTCCTTACTTTCTTGTAAGCCATCTCAAAGAGTTTGAGTGATGCCTGTTGGAGGTCCCGATGTGACCTCTCGGATGCTGTCAGCGGTCTCGTTGTCCTTGTCGGCAAGCACCTCCCTCACCTTGGTGATCTTCTCCTTCAGCTGGTTACACTGTTGACACAAACACAGGGTGTAAGACAAGATCATTTCACGAAACTTGAGGTTAAATTCTAAAATATTCTTTATATGTACATTTTGTTTTAAAATGGTATTGTGTTATCTGAAACTGTCAGACCATTAGCAATTGGATACTAAATTGTCTCTCCCATCCATGTTGCCATGTTCACCCCTATTAACACAGTTTAAAACATGGTGTGCTTCTGAAATTTTCAGTTCAATCTATTATAATCATAAGCAGCCAATCAATGAAAAGGAAATATCCATGCTTGTCAAGCGTAACAGGCAACTTACAAATGGATATATTTTAGATTTCAACAGTTGACCTCAGATGGGCCTGAGATATGCCAGTTGATGCTAGCTGTTGACATTCAAGGCACATTATCCACTTGCATGGTTAGTTTCAGTGCAGACAATATTAAGGTTAATTATAAGCCTATTTCGATATAGGACACCAAATCCATCAGCCCGGACATCTGCTTGTCTGTGACTGAACTATGGGTCAAGGCCCCTCATGACATGACTACCCAATCAACAAGTGACTTGTTCTCCTCCACCCTAAACACACCCACCCAAGTGACTTCAGCGACAGGGTCCACATTCCCAAGGTGTTCAGACAACAGAAGAACATACCAGTTTCCCAACATTCCTCATCAATATTCAGAAATATTTCTTTAACTAAACTTGTTTCTAATGATTCTACTCAAAGATTTGATAAGACCAAGGCTCAGACATAAGAATCCTCATACAAGCAGAACAGCCTGTAGGAGACGAAAAATAGAGACATCACTGCCTTGTGTCAAGTGGAAGGACCGAGGTTGGAGTGATACTTACCTCATCAGCTGGCAGTTGGTCCTTGTATTCATCCATCTTTGTCTCTGTATCATGGATGATACTGTCTGCACTGTTCACTGCCTCCACAACTTCCTGCAACACGCATCAAACGGTCAAATCTCACAGCCTCATCATAGTTTCCAACACCATCACTTCTCAACCCAGTGCTCTCCCCTGCCTACAGTTCTCAACCCAGTGCTCTCCCCTGCCTACAGTTCTCAACCAAGTGCTCTCCCCTGCCTACAGTTCTCAACCCAGTGCTCTCCCCTGCCTACAGTTCTCACCCAGTGCTCTCACCTGCCTACAGTTCTCAACCCAGTGCTCTCCCCTGCCTACACTTCTCAACCCAGTGCTCTCCCCTGCCTACACTTCTCAACCCAGTGCTCTCCCGTGCCTACACTTCTCAACCTAGTGCTCTCCCCTGCCTACAGTTCTCAACCCAGTGCTCTCCCCTGCCTACACTTCTCAACCTAGTGCTCTCCCCTGCCTACACTTCTCAACCCAGTGCTCTCCCCTGCCTACACTTCTCAACCCAGTGCTCTCCCCTGCCTACACTTCTCAACCCAGTGCTCTCCCGTGCCTACACTTCTCAACCCAGTGCTCTCACCTGCCTACAGTTCTCAACCCAGTGCTGCTCTCCTGCCTACACTTCTCAACCTAGGTGCTCTACCCTGCCTGCACTTCTCAGCCCAGTGCTCTCCCTGCCTACTTCTCTCAACCCAGTGCTCTCCCCCTGCCTACACTTCTCAACCCAGTGCTCTCCCATTGCCTACAGTTCTCAACCCAGTGCTCTCCCCTGCCTACAGTCCCCTGTGCACTCGTAACTAGACAGCTAATCCACAACCTTAAACTAGTTGGTAGCCATGACCGACACTTCAGGCTGCTTACCTTCCTCTTCTTGTCCTCCTCAGCATACTGCTCTGCATTTCTCACCATGTTCTCGATGTCCTCCTTGGAGAGACCTCCGGCGACTGGATCACAACTACATGAACAAAGGCGGTTAACATCATCACATCAGGGAAAATGCAAGTCTTATGATCATGGGAAAATGCAAAGTCTTCCACCCTCCTTGATCCATAAGATCCTTCCATTCCTCTATTCAATGGGCTCCATCTTATCAAGCCTTACTCCATTCTTCCCATGAAATAAATCTAATACTTGGTCATTCCTTTCCTACAATAGCTTCACTAGTTGTGAATCCTTCATCCTTTCCACTGTCCATCATTAAAATCATTCAGATGACCTGAGAACACTCTCTCTTTCTCTTTTCCATTCCTTATCTATTTGTTGTGTCCTTATATTGTTGTGTCCATGTCGTGATCTCTCCCTCCATTTTCAGTCCTGTCTCTCTCTCTCCATTCTTATTCATACTGTCCATGTATCCAGTCTTACATTGTGGTCCATTCCCCCAACTATTCTTTTCAATTCCTTCTTTTCCATCATTTATTCCTTTGTCCTTTATTATAACAGGGCCATTTTCTTTCATTCCTTTCATTCCCCTAAGACATTGTGTGGGCTGTTGTCCTGGTGTTGTTTTTCCCTGTGGGATTCTTTCTTCTTCAGTTCCTCCTCATTGTTCATTCAATATTTTCTCCATGCTTTCCGTTGTCATTCCATTCTTCATGAAACCACACAAATCTGGCCAACTCCTTTCCGTCCACAACACAAGATCCATTTCAGATCCACCTCTTCCTTCGTCTACCACAGATCTCTTTTCAAGATCCTTCCTGCCATCCATTCACTCTGTTATCCATTTCCGTCCGGCCACTGCATTCTTCCTATTTTTCCTTGTCCGGCTGTGCTGTCTCATTCCATCAATGTCCGTCCTCCAGCCTGTGTGCCTCCGGGGCTGGGCCAGCTCTCCACATCTTTCCGTGTCCTCCGTTAAGTCCATAAGATAATCCAGTTTCTATTCTTTCCAGCTCATGCTGTGGGTCGATTGCCAATGGGTCAGGATCTTTTGGATCAAATCCTGGGGTGTCCGGTCCGGCTGGGTGTTGGTCTGTTGATGTCCGTTTCGGGGTCGATTCCTCCTTCGGTGTTCAATGGCGTTTCCTGGTCTGGTCTGTCGTGGGGTCCGTGTGCTGGGGCTGTGTCCATCATTCAAGATGCCGATGTCAGTTTGGATCGTTGCTCCGGGTCCTTCTGGGTCCGTTCCTCGTCTGTCCTGGGTCGTCCATTCCTGTCCGTTCCATGTTCCGGGTGTCCATCCTCCATTCCTTGTCGGCCATCCGTCCGTCCACCTCCGGCCTCCGGCCGGCGCCGTCCGTCCATTTTGTCCGCGTCCTCCGTGTGCGCCACGTCCCCACACCTCTGTGTGCCCCGTCTCACGTCAGGTTTCCTCTGGGACTTTGTCCCGGGGTTTGTTGTCGTCTCGTCGTGGTTGCTGTGATCTCCACCTGGGTTGCGATGCGTCGGCGGCTGTCGAAGGCACCGCAAACAGACGCAATGCGTTATGGCGTTGTCGTATCCGACGACAGATTGGTGCTGCGTCCAGGGATGAAAGACGGAGTTATTATTGCTCGGTTCTCCTTCATGAGTTGAGCGGTTGGTTTACATTCTTTCAGCGTGTTCGTCGATATCACGGTTACCAAATCGGCTTCGCACGGTTTGGCGCCAGGGGATTGGACCTGAGTCGGACCGGGGCGGCTTTAACCACTGGAACGTCCATCGCTTCATAAAATTGGTGATAAGTCTCCATAAATATGTTTGGGTTTACCTGACTCTTCTTTGTTGGGAATGGTTGTCGTTGTTTCTGTGATTTACGATTTAGCGGGCGTTGGACGCTTCATCTACCGCGTACGGCGGCG